GAAAACAAAGAGTAGATACCAATGCGCTTGTATTAGAACTGGTCAGCTGGAGTGCTGCACTCCCTTGGCTAACAGTGAGAATCAGTCTGTGCTACTGCGGTGAGCAAATGGACTCCCACAGAATGTGTAGGCAGCAGGAGCCAATGAAATGACCATCACGAGGGTGACACTGTTCCAATAGCCTACTGTGCATTTTGAGTTCGGCAACTTTGGTGGAGAGAACAAACAGACACGGCACATAACGTGAGCTCTGAAGCCAGACTCCTAGGTTTGGTTTCTAGTTCTACCTCTTAGAAGCTGCTCTAACTCTTGGCCAAGTGACGTGGTTCTTTCCTCAGTTCACTCATCTCAAAATGAGTGACAGCATTTCCTATCTCATATGGTGTGCTTGTAATGCCCACTGTATGCATTATTAATGACATATTGGTTCTTATTCCAACCACTTACACCTACCACCAACTACACTTCCTGTCTCCCCTCCCCATTGTTTCCTGAGCGGTACAGTGGATGATTTGTGCAGCTTTCCCACACTTGGGCATGCCTTTCTGTCAGCAAATCAAGGTACCATCACTTCTCAGGGAGTGACCTACTGAGGAATGGCTGGTGATTCACTGTGGTTGAGGAAAAGCAATTTTCTAAAAAGATTATATTTATTTGTGTGTGCACATGTGTGTGTGCATGCCATGAAGGATCACTTGGGGCACTCTGTTCTCTCCTTCACCCACTGAATCTCTAACTCACGTTGCCAGGCTTGTTGGTAAGCACCTGTCTCACCGAGCCATCTTGCCAGACCGTAATACAACTTCCTTGAAATGGCAGTGTTCAGCAGAGCTACTTCCCAAAAGAAGTGCACCGAAAGATACTCGTTTCATTTCAAATGACAGTTTTCTAACTGTAGCAGCAGAGCCCCTGTGACGGGAGCGTGGAGAACAAATAATGACGGCATCGCTCAACCAAAACACAGCCATTCCCACGTCCCCACACCTTGGCTCGTTGAAGTGAAGCTTCCTTATTGCTTAAGCCATTTTTAGTAGGATTCTTCGTTACTGACTTCAAAGTACTGTAACTGACAGGAAGTTCTTAAGTGTCTGCTGTGCTTGAGTTACTTTACAGGAAGCATGAACTATACAGCTGTGAACTGGATTCTCAATAAGGTTTTTGAAATACTTCAGGGAGACAAACTATGAAAACTCAAACTAGGAATAGCAGGCACCAACTATTAAGGGCTTGGATTAAAGATAAACTGACAAGACAATATAGGAGGTCTTAAATGAAGAGTGGCCTCATATGTAAACTATATGATGAACTATACGATGACGAACTATATGATGAACTATATGACAAACTACATGAATTATATGATGAACTATATTACAAACTATATGAACTATATGATGAACTACATGATGAACTATATGATGAAAGCTATAGATGGGCAGGGGAGAGAAGCACAGGGGAGTGAAGGAAGCCCCGAGTGAATTGTGCTGTTGACACAGGCATGTCCATGTGAAGGACCCCAGAGCCTCAGCACCTTGGAGGGATGGCAAAACCTCCCTGCCACCTGGGAGGCTCAGAAGGAAATGGCAGTGCCTTTCTTGAGGAACTAAGTGTGAGTGTTGACAGTGTGTACAGAAAAATGTCCACCATAGCTTCTTCCCCTCCCCAGACAGGTATGTCCTGAAGACTGCTCCACAACAGAGATCACTCCTACAGAGAAGAGCTAAGCCTATCCCCTTGATCTGGCTGTCGACCATAACCCTGTCATTGTTCAACTCTATATACTGAACACTCTGAGCTTCTGGGTGCTGAGGCTTTCCCAGCCGAGAGCCCAGACCACCTGACCCCGCTTCTCCATCTGCCATGTTTTTTTCATTCATTCACCGCCTCAGTTAGATTCAAGTCCCGGGAGCCATGCTGGATGCAGAAGAGAGGGAATGTTCTAGGTGGGGGAAACTGTAAAGGAGGGAGAGGGGATTCAGGTTGTATTCATTTCTAGGGTCAACAGTGTGAAAACAGCATATATGGGGTGACTGAAAACAACAGAAATTCATCTTTCAAAATCGTGGTCTACAGTCAGTATCGCTGCTGTCTATTCTGTGCTGGGGCCACTTGTTCACAGACGGATGCCTATTGCTGTGCTTTCACATCCCTGGTGTCTCTCGAGGAAGACGGATCAGAGCCCGCCTTAATGACTTTATCTGACTTAACCAACCTTCTAAAGGCCCTATCTACAAACACAAAATTTGAGAAATTGGGGACTAGAGATTTAACACATCAATCTTGAGGAACACAATTCAGTTCAAAACAGGGACCAAAAAAAAAAAAAGGATATTTAAGAGTTAGAGATTATTGGGAGATGAAATTGGAAGACTACATTAGGATTTGAATTGTTGGCCTAGATTTTGTTGTGAGGTATCCATGAGAGAAGACCACTTAGCTGTGGGTTCAAGTCAATAGAAAGCCTTTATTAGCTGGCTGGTGACTACACTGGATGTTTGGGACCTGAGTACAGTCTCAGGGTGAGCTTTTAATTAAGCACAAATCCAAATCCTAGATTGACATACTAAGTCATCAAGAACAGTTAGCCAAAAGTGGACTACAGAAGCCAGAAAGCAAGGTCAGTACACGGAGGGAGTCTCCCAGAACCATGAACTGTGGTGGATGAGGTCTGTGATTCCGGCAGGTGCTGCTCCTATGTGCTGGGTTGGTACTAAGGCTGGAGTGGTACTTCCACCACCCTGTCAGTGGTGCTAAGGTCTGGAGCCATTACACTTTCACTCTTGCAGCAGGAAAGGGGGCAATGTAGATACTCGAGAATAATTTGTCAGTAGCAGTGCTCATCAACAGCCAGCGTAACTGGTTAGAACTGCTGCTGTATAAATAGTCTACACTGGTGCTGATGAGGGCTGAAGTGAGGGGAACAGAGGGCTCAGGTCAACGCATCATAAAAATATTTCAAGAGCCATGTTTACTGCATCACTGTCCACAATAGCAGGTGCCCAACGGCAGAAGAATGGGTAAAGAAAATGTACATAGCCACAATGAAAGTGTTTTCAGCTATAAAGAGCAAAGTTATGCCAATCACAGGTAAACGGAAGTAACTGAAAATAAGGAAATTAAGTTAGTCTCAAAAAGACAAATATGTCTCCTCTCATGAATAGTTTCTATATATTTTATTTATTTATTTAACATATTTTATTTATTTATTTATTATGCATACAATATTCTGTCTGTGTGTATGTCTGCAGGTCAGAAGAGGGCACCAGACCTCATTACAGATGGTTGTGAGCCACCATGTGGTTGCCAGGAATTGAACTCAGGACCTTTGGAAGAGCAGGCAATGCTCTTAACCACTGAGCCATCTCTCCAGCCCCCTCTATATATTTTAAATAGGTAAAATAATGTTATATAAATATGAAGGGGGAGGCAAGACTCTCTAGGAAAAAGGAGGATTAATGGGAGAGAGGAAGAGGGAAAAAGAGGAAAGAGGCATATGAAAGGTAAAATACTCAATGTCCATCATATTTTTATATGAAAGTATCCTTATATCATACAGTACTATGTGCAATGAATATACGCAGTGAATTATTAATAGCAGTCTCACAGAAAGAGTACAAAGATCAAGTAGACTGGATCACTGGACAGTCTTCAGTGTACTGTGTATGGCTGAGGGTCAGAAGCTTGCGAGCTTCACTGAGAACCCAGAATAGAGAGAACAGCTTGTAAATGCCCTACACTGTCCTGTGGTCTCTCAGAAGAGTCACGGCAGAGCAGCTCTTGCCAGCTCTGGGTGCAGCAGACCCTTCCTGTTCCAAGTTGCCCAGATCTGTGTCCCAGCATCTCAGAGTCAGTTCTCCACTGCATAGTACAAAGATGTTTTCTAAATGTTCTATGCATTTGAAGAAAGACATCCAAAGCCTATAAAATATTCCCCAAACATGTTCTGCTCATGAAAAATGTTGAACAATTATTTTATGTGTACTGGTGTTTTGTGTACATGCATGCCTGTGCAATGCATGCCCAGTGCCCACAGAAGCCAGAGAGCCTGGATCTCCAGGAACTGGAGCTGGAGAGAGGGCTGCAAGCTGCCACATGGGTACTGGAATTCTGCTGAACCATCTCTCCAGCCTTCTAGTGATTTTTATAGCAATTTCCACTTTTCTACATGAGAGAGAAGCAACAGTATAAGAATGTCAGGCCAAAGATTATTTGGGAGCCAGAGAGAATGAAGGATGAGAATAATTTGGTTACCAAAATAGTAAGGAGTTTGGGAAAACTGATAAAGCTCTTGAGTTCTTCCAAATGCTCATGGCAGTGTAGACGTCAAAGGCGCATCCTTCAGGGACAGTCAGCCCCAGTCAGCACTGGTCAGTTCTGTTCTAAGATTTAGCACTGCCTAATCTTTTTTTTTTTTTAAGATTTATTTATTTATTATGTGTACAACATTCTGCCTCCATGTGTGCCCACATGCCAGAAGAGGGCGCCAGATCTCATTACAGATGGTTGTGAGCCACCATGTGGTTGCTGGGAATTGAACTCATGACCTCTAGAAGAGCAGCTAGCGCTCTTAACCACTAAGCCATCTCTCCAGCCCCTGCCTATACTAATCTTATATAGGACTTAAATTTCCTTCATAATTATATATATATATATTTTGATCTAGAGTTCAGAGTAACTGGGGAAAACAACCCAGGGTCTCTTAGGGGATAATTACCTGTGAACCACTTTTACGTGTATCTTCACTTCCCTCACAAGAATTGTTACTCACGCAGAGGCAGAAGTGCCGAATGCAAAGTTAGTTTTAAGTTTCTGTCAATAAAACTAAAGCAAGAGACTCACCAGTCTTCTTCAGGAATGCCTTTATTTCACTGGCACGAAAGCACTAGCCTGGCCTAGCAGTTTTCTTATCACAGTGAATACACAGCTCCTGCCACAAAAGATGGGATGGCTGGCTGCTGATTAGAAGAACAATACGAAATAGGCTACCAAGAACCCAGGCTTCAGAATGGTAGCGTCTTACATTCCACATAGAACTTCCAGTACTGCTCCATTACATGGCTTGGCAGAAGCTCTTGGTTGCTGATTGCAAGTATTTCTTTTATCTGTAGATAATGAGGGAAACTTTGCACTGACTTTCTGGAAGTGCCTGTTAAAACAGGAATCAAAATTAAAACCAGCCTTTTATAATGTAAGAGTTAAACACAGTTATTACATATTCTAGAATCCAGTCAGTCCATACCCGAACATAGTTGATAAGTTTTCTGACCAGGACATTCATCATTTTACTTTCTATACCTGAGACAAACCTATGGGAGGGAGGAAAAGAGGGAGGGAGGAAAGGAGCATGAACTGGTGGGATCAGAGAGAGGAGGGTAAGAAGGAGAAGAGAGCTGTTTGCAATCTAAAATTATAGCAGAAAAAGCATGAAGGAAACTTTGGAGGGTAGCTGAATAAGGCTTCTTGGCCCTCAATTTCCAATAAGTTATGAATAAAACAGATGTGAAGACTAAATGAAACTTTGCATGTATACTTGTTACTTGGCAGATGACAAACAGAAAATAACCATTGCCATTATAATGATCACTATTGATTACTGATTAATTATTAATTAGGCTGTTTCAGAATAGAAGACAGATGACCAATGTTCTAGTCCTTCATCCACCATATATGTGGAGCGTGGTCTCAAGGCAATGATATCACTTCTATAGCTCTTTGATAAGGAAGAGGGTTCTTGTGCCTCTGCCTCTTGAAAGGGTGAATGATGTTAAACTGGTTGCTTCAATCTCCAGTAGTCTCCGAGTTTGGTTATTTGAGTCACTTGTCAATTCCAAATCAAATTTTTTCTCCACAGAGATGGTCAGTGTGTTAAAACTTTACCAAGGCAGTTTTAGCTAGACACACCAAGTAGTCCATTGATTTTATCCATATCCTATGGCTACAGATGTTTCATAAAGTCAGGTATTTAGGGGCAGTGGTGCTTCTGATGATCAGTGCCCATCTATATTTCCCCCAGAACTTGCCTGGCTGTGACTTTCCCTTTCACCTGACTTGGCTCATGTGCCTTGGGCTGTATTTATTCTAAACTTCTTGATTCATTTACATCTGTACAAAATCAGGAGCTAACTCAGTGACAGGAGCACAATCCCTTCAGAGGGGGTGGGATACAATGAGATCTCTGCCGAGTCTTTGGGGAAGAGTCACAGATAAGTCTCCCTTCTAGACTTGAGCCAACAGGCAGACAGCCTTGGGTAAAGAGAGGCTGTCATGTTTTTTTTAATTTATTTATTTATTAAGGATTTCTGCCTCGTCCCCACAACCACTTCCCATTTCCCTCCCCCGATCAAGTCCCCCTCCCTCATCTGCTCGAAGAGCAATCAGGGTTCCCTGACCTGTGGGAAGCCCAAGGACTGCCCACCTCTATCCATTTTTAAAAATGGTTTCATGCATCCCAGGCTAGCCTGAATTCACCACAAAACAGGATGACCCCGAACTTCTGATCTCCCCTGCATTAACCTCCTGAATGGTAGGATCACGGGTATTTATCACTATACCAGGTTTCTGGGATTGCATTTAGAAGTTGAAAGAGGAAAATTCTGTTTAGTGATGCTGTCTGAAACCTCAATAAAGCCTGTAGATCTTCCCTGGCCTTTACTGACATGTACATGTATCAATAAAATTCCAACTTTAGTGGTTTAGGTCAGTCTGAGTGGGGTTTAAACTGTCACTATAGACTGCGGACAGCTCGGTCAGTAACGTTCTCATTTGTCACCTATAGACTGCGGGCAGCCCGGTCAGTAACGTTCTCATTTGTCACCTATAGACTGCGGGCAGCCCGGTCAGTAACGTTCTCATTTATCACCTATAGACTGCGGGCAGCCCGGTCAGTAACGTTCTCATTTGTCACCTATAGACTGCGGGCAGCTCGGTCAGTAACGTTCTCATTTGACTGTTGTCATAAAGACCTAAGCTTGATTCCCCAGAACTCAGGGGAAGAAAGGAAAGAAAAGCAAACAAACAAAGCCCCCCAAATCAGTCAGAGAGGGCAGTGGTATATTTTTGTAATCCCAGCAGAGAGGGGGCAGTGATGGCAGGTGGATCCCTGCATTGGCCACCCAGCTTAGCTTTCTTGGTAAGTTTCAGGCCGATGAGAACTTGTTGCAAAAGCAAAAACAAACAAACAACAAAAAAACAAAACAACCCAAAACAAAATAAAGCAAAATAAATGAAGGAAAAAAATTAAAGAAAATAAAAACTAAGGTAGACAGCAGCTGAAGAACAGTAGCCAGGTTAACTTTTAATAAAAACTAAGGTAGACAGCAGCTGAAAAACAGTAGCCAGGTTAACTTTTGGCGGCCACATGTGCACACATCTACACACATCTGAGCACACAACCTGTTACTACAATCGAATGCTTTTTACATTTTAAAATACCTTCCTTATATAAATATATAATTCTCATATTAATTGTAGAGGGCAAAAATACATAGATAAGCACTGGGGAAGCCAGGAAAGTTAAACTCATAGGCATCCTTAAAAGGAAAGAGATGTAGTTTACAACCTGGTGATCCTTTGCTGCTTGATGAGCCAGACTCTGCCTGTATCTCCCAGAATTAATGTTTTATTTATCCCAGATCCTTTCCCTATAAATCCTGAGCACTACTTCTAAGACATAAAACTCATCCTTGGGAGAGATGTTACTTGTACTCTATGACAACCCAAGTGACTTCTATGTCATCTTAGGGCCAGGCCGGCCTGACACCTACAGGGATTGTGTTCACCTCAGTCACACTCCCTACACACTTATTTTGAACAATGTTTTGAAGTCAACAGAACCCATCTTACAAAGCTGTACGTCCTTTCAAAGAGCTTCAATGTAAACATGTTTTAAGCTCTGTTGCATTCACCGGTCTGAGTTAACTGTTACATAAAAGCTTCTTCCCAAAATTGTGCCGTGCTTAAATGTGCAAAAACATACAACCTGACATCTGACTCTTGAAGTCTTGGTCCAGCACTGGTTTTCTAAATTGGGCTGAACAGAGTTTCATTCTTCCCTCACCCAGACTGTTTCCCTGCTGGCTGTAAAGCTGTGTTTTCATAGATCTCCAACTGAACAGATGGGCTTTGGGAATCCGGCTCAAGCTCCTAAGTAATTGAGACTTTGGGCATGTATCAACAAACCCCGTTTCCAGAAACAAGGTATCCCACAAAACTTGAGGATGGGAGATATTTCTAAGCTTGTAAAATTTACAACAGTACGGCACTGCCCGTCCTTGTCTCTACAGACAGACACTGCACCTACATTAGTTATGTTCTGAGTGTTCAAAACATCTGTGACAGTCTGTTTCTAATCTATACTTTATTTCAGTAATGTGCAATTCTGCAGGACTGCTATTTGTAAGCTAAGTGACTAGGCTGTGGATGTGTACATACTTCATATTTCAGACATGTCTGCCAGTGTCCACCTAAAGTCCTCATTTACATCTGCCAGCATATGTTATCTATGACGATGCCTATTTTCTTCTCCATATCCTTATGGACACTGCATAGTATGAATTTTTAAAAGCAATCCCACTCTGGTTATACAAAATAAAACTACTGTTTTCATTGATACCTTCCTGATAGCTAGCATGAGCATCTTTTACATGGACTTAGTGCCCTTTAAAATCTGTAGACCTAGGAAGGTGCCTGCTAAAGTTTCTGTTGGCAGTGGCTGAGTAGATAGCAAACCAGAGTATGTCAGGAATTTAATCTGTATATGGATCAAAATTCTGCTTTAAAATTGTATTCTCTGCTCACTGGGCATGAGTACAATGCTTAGTTAAATCTGGTGTTTCAAGAGGGAGAAACTTGTTGCATGTCTGCTAACAAGAGACTTGATGCAGCTCTATATACAAGAACAGTTCCAGAGACTCTGTCTCATGCTCTCATTCTATGGATACTAAAATAAAGGGTGTTTTATTTGTTTATTTTGAGATGAAATCTCATTATACTGCTCAGGCTGGTCTTGAACTTATGGGAGAAACAGGGATCTATTGGCACACCAAACTTGGGGATTCCTGTATGTGGCTTTAAAGGGGCAGAGCAGCAAGGCCCCAGCTGAGAGAACACATACTGATGCCGATGCACAATACCCTACGACCTCAGGCCAAGACTCCTTTATTGACTCAAGGTCTTTACAACTGGCCCAACTCTTAATTATAACATCCTTTAAAAAAATCCAGTGTTCAGACAGGCCCACTGCTTCAATTTCCAGTGTAAAGTTTTTTGTAATATGTGAAATTATCCAACATAATTTGCTGTGTCTAAACTAGTATTTTCTCTATTTACAGTGTTGTGGTTTGGATATGAAATGTTCTCCACAGGCTCTTATTTTGAATTGTTGGTTGCTAGCTGACAGTGCTAATTTGGGAGGTCATGGAAACTTGAGTGGGTAGAGCCCTGGTGATGAAGTAGGTCACTGAAGGAAGGTCCTAGAGCACATGTCACCCCTGGCTACCTCCTCTCCTGCTTTCTGATTCCTGGTCAGCTATGAAGGGGACATTTCGGAACCATTGTGTCTTTCTAAAGCACATGGAACTAAGCAGCCATGGACTTTGAAACTGTGAGTGGAAAGAAAGCTCGCTCCTCCCCAGCTGTTTCTTTCAGCATTTCACTTCAGTGACATTAAAAGTGACAGGTGTATTTTGCTACCTTAAGAACCCTTTTGGCAGAAACTATTGGTTCGTTCCTTTTTGGCTTTTTCTTCCGCCAGCTGACAGAATGCTGGCTAATACATTATATGGGAAACTTTCCTGGCAGCTATGTGTGGAATTTGATTAAATCCTGGCCGATGAAGTGTTCTGGGTTAGACTTTTGGCACAATTCCTTAAGGTTGCCTCCTAATGTCTAGAGTTCAGATGTGATGGCTCCAGTTGAGCTAAGAACATAGTAAAGACGACAGAGCAGAAATGGTGACTGTGTTGCCACTGTACTTGCTGTACATTGCCAATATACAAACTTCCCTCTGACAGAACTGTCTATATTTTGTGTGTGTGGTGGGGGCAGGGCATGCAGAAGCCACAGAGCACATGGGGACCATTTCTGGATGTTAGCTCTCTCCTTCTACCCTGTGGATATCAGAGATTGAACTCAACTAGTCAGGCTTAG